TAGCAAGAATGCCCGGTCGTTCAGAGGCTGAGAACATCTATGATTTCTGGCAACTTTGGTACAAATTGAACCTTTTTGCCATCCGAAATATTTGTGAATTTGGGCCCAAATCTGAATGGAGTTCCATACCATTGGGTGCAATGATTGAGAGTATAGACCAGGGTTCCTCAAATCTTGCCCTAGAGGGCCAATGCGCTGCAGAGTTTAGCTCCAACCCTGATCAAACTCACCTACCTGTGATTTTCTAATGATTCTGAACATTCTGACATTGATTAGTATACTCAGGTGTGTTTGATTATGGTTAGAGCTAAACTCTGCAGGAAAGTGGATCTCGTGGGCCAGATTTGAGTATCCCTGGTATATACCCATCGGCAAGGGTGAAAATAGAAGAGCTGAAAGCGAGGAAGGAAGGCAGGTTGAGGATTCTATCTGGACCCAATCCGGTATGTGATTTATATAATGTGAACCTTGCCAATAAGTCAGAGCTCTTAAGTTACAAGCCCAATAATATAGTTGAAAATTTGGGAGGGCTATCCCCCCCTGGTCTTTAGGGTTTTGCAGAAATTGTAGACGTATTCTGGGGGGTTTCTTATTCCAAAGATAAGACGAGATTATCTTATTTAAATGAGCAAAAAAAGATTTCTTAATGTAAATCAGTATAGTTTGGAACAAATTAGGGCTGGACGATTTGGCCAAAATTTATATCACAATATATTTCTTAATTTCGGTCGATACGATATAATTCCGATATCGATATGAACACTATTTAAAAAAGCCTTGTAAAAACTGCCAAGAACGCCCACAACAGATGTCTGTGCATACAAACTTATGAAAAATGAATTTGCCAAGTCTATGACACCTCATATAAAACCATATAATACTTTAGAGAAAAAAAACAGCACAAATAAATTAATGTTCACCTTTTATTTGTATTTAGCCTTCATACAAACGATAAATGTGAAATCACTGTCAAATAAACATCTCAGACTCACCTTATTAATTGTTAATATCTTCCAACATACAAGTCAAAAGTGTTTGAAAAGTAAGATTTTTATTGTTTTTAAAGAATTCTCTTTAATCAAATCAGCTCCGCTCATGAACACTTCTTTATTAGATTAAATAAAAATCCCATCGAAACTTTTCTGAAGACAGTCCTTTCCCTTTAGAGATACATTCATATAAAACACCCGCGACAAGTTTTGATTTTAAAACGTGCTGTGCTCATGTTTATTCAACGAAGTCAAACGCCACAAATAAATCAATGCATGGGAAACACTGGTAATGTATATCGAAATATCGGAAATGTGTTTAAAAATCATATCACCGTTATTGAAAAGAATTATATCGCGATACATATTGATATTGAATTATTGTCCAGCCCTAGAACAAATATAAAAATTTAGGGAGCATATTCATTTTAATTACATTGATCCTACCAATCAAAGAAGTGGGGAGCTTAGACCATTTTTCAAGGGATATCCTAGTATACTGTATTCTTAATAAATAAATGTAGCCTTGGTGAGCATAAGAGACTTTCCCAAAAAAAAAAAAAAAAAAAGAGGGGGATGGGGGCTTGAAAATATTTTTCTCTACAATAGGAGGGCCCGGCAGAAAAAGTTTGGGAACCACTGGCCAACTCAAACACACAATATTTAATTTAATTTATACAGGCCTACCTCATGTTGCACATTTGCACTCTTTGAGAAAAACAATGGCACAATAAAAAAAGACTTTTCAGGTCTATGTCCAAATCCTCACTTTTTCTAGTTATATAAGGTTAAAATATTTTGCCTGTAATTTTTTTCCCCCTCATATCGCAATATAATATCGATGTCGCCTGGACAGTGTAAAATATTGTGATATGAATTTTAGCTCATATTGCCCACCAATATATGTATTTATTAGGGGTGTAACGATTCACTCGTTTTCTCAATGCATCGATTACAAACTCTGACGATGTATATGCATCGATCTTGAAACATAGATTTTTGAATCATGAATCGTCGATTTCGGACAGTAATCGATATAAAACGCTAAGAATAAAATGAATCGCGATTTCTATAGCGATTCAATGCTTTCAAAATATATACATTACATTACTACAAGCACGAATTAATGGCCTCGCATCTCTCCTTCACGCGCTCCACTCTTTACCGCCTGCAGTGACTGTCACAGGATTGCGCTCGCGCTCAGTTCGTCTCACTGACACATTTTTTGAGCAGCTGATGTGTGATCTCTCCTTAGTATTCCTGGCCAGTAATGCTAAATTGAAGTAGTTTTACTTTTCTGTAGTTTTTCAATGGCTCTCGGTCATACTGACGACATTAACTGAGCAGTCGAAGGCTGCGCATTTATTGCATGGACGGAGCAAAAATGTAAATGTCTAAAGCATATGCACAGTTCCATTGAATGATAAATGTGTTTTAACAATGTCGTTGAACCAAATGTACGAAGGAAACTGTTAAAATAACCATAGCATTAACAACAACCTTGAAATAAGAGCGCAAGTTCTTTCTGATAATCAGATGCATGAAAGTAGCGTTCGTTGCTATAGCAAACAGACTTCTGGCTTTTCAGAATCATCATTCGCCGATGGAGAGGAAAAGTTAAATACTATAGCATTTTATTTTATGAAAATGAGATAAAGAAGATTTCGCACTGAAAGAGAAGTGATCTCGCGCTCATAGACGTGCCAGGCTATATCTGCAGCTAATCTGAATAAAAAGCAGAATTAACTGATGAAACGTTAAGACAATAAACACAAATAAATAAAATCGATGAATGATGCAGTGCTAATTGACAGGATTTATTACAGTACAGAAACTATAAAGTATAACAATAAACACAAATAAATAAAATCGATGAATGATGCAGTGCTAATTGACAGGATTTATTACAGTACAGAAACTATAAAGTATATTTTCTACCTTATTCTGTGCAGAAAATGTATTGTTTGTAGTATATCAAACAATCATAAAATTGCCATTAGGAAAAAAATATAGATTACAGATGATTGATTATTGTCCAGCAGTGTATTTGGTTTCTTATAGCAAATTCAAAGTAAGAAAAGAATTCCTTTAAAAAATAATAATACATAAAATTATTGTATTTGACATTTCTGTCACTTCTGAAATGATGGCTACGCCCCTGGTGTGACCATGTTAGCCTATACATAATACTTTTAAAATATTGGCTTACATAAATTTCTACATATGCCATGGCATCATTAAACTAACATCTAATAATGGACAAAAGTGATTTTATTTTTTTTGTAACCTATGGTTCTCTAACCATAAAGGCCGCTGTGTAATTTGCCCTCTGACTAAGCATTTAAAGAATTTAGGGGAAGCATTTAAATAATCCTGTGACTGCATTAAAGAATGCAGAATCGAATCGTTAATCGAATCAAATTTAATTGAGAATTGAATCGAGTTGATTAGTTCTGAATTTGCAAAAATAGTTCTTGAATCGAATCGAAAACCTATGAATTGTGAATCAAATCGATTCGCTGTCTACCCAAAGATTCACAGCCTAGCTGTGACAGATCGCTGTAGCGCCTCAGTTCAAGCGGTACATGAACCGATCATCTCTTCCTCTTTACTAGTTATAGCATGAAATAAACATGAATGAACATCAGAAGGTATCTTGTTTCAACTGTGAAAAGACGTCAATACACCATTTTTCAAGTTTGTCCACCGACGTTAATCTACTCTCCTGTCTGGTTTGTTTGTCGGACAAAAATGACGGATTATATATTATAATTGGTCAGATTGCCTGTTAATCAAACTCCCTGCAAAGGCTCAATTGAGCAGCCAAAATTGGGCAAAGTTCAGAAATAACTGGGGCTAAAGAAATGCCTGCAGTAAATGCTATGTGCTGGACTTTTCACATGTCTCTCTAAATAGATTTTTAATGATATAAGGTCATTGTGTGTCATTTGGAGCGACCACTCATCATGTGGTGCGACCAAAAATAGCCATAACTGTATTAAATTTAAAATAAAATATCTCATTTCTGTGGTTGAAACATGAATCACTGCTACAGTATGCTTAAGTGAATGGTATTTAAAAAATTTTTTTTTATCAGTTTTATGCAATTTACAGGAAAAATAAGTAACTACATTTAAGAAGGCAACTCTGAAATTATAGAACAAAAACATGAGATCATTATTTACAAAAGCTCAAGAAATGCAAATACTTCGTTTCTAAACACTTTAATTACTGAGAACATCTAAAAATATTAAGCATGTTAAGGAAATGAATTAATTTTAATATAAATCATGGTCGCACCACATGACATTTTTTAAGGCCAATTCATCTAGATGAAAAAACACTTAGGTTAATTGAAATTGTTTATATGAATTTGTGTACATAACATTCTTAATGTTTGAACAATTACAATAGATATTTTTTTGTATTTTAAAATTATCCTGTTGAAAATTATACGTCATTGACTCATCTATAGATTTTATTTTAGGCAGTTCGTGTTGATTTGAGAATGCTAAATTGATCAAACGTGATACACTCGCTGTCTGCCGTTATCCGGTTGGTCGTCACTCTAAAAAACAAAAACTTGAATCTAACAAATTAACTTCATAAAGAAACGAAACTAAATATAACCACTTTGCCATTAAAAACTAAACTGGACTATTTTAATGGCTGCAAAGCAGCTGTGTAATGGGGAAGCGAGAGAGAGAAAAAAAAAGACACAGACTTCATTCGGACTCTGGCCGAGAATTTTGATAAGCTGTCAAGAGCTGGGCCGGGCTAGGGCCTAGATTTGAGGCCCGTGAAGGGCTCTACTCTGTACAGGAGAGACTTGTTGTTTCCAAACAATAGGAAATATATCGGTACCTGCATTGGCTTTCGGCCAAAATGAGTTGAAAAATATTGGCATATCGGATATATGCAAAAATCCAATATCGTGCATCCCTTTGCTGAAAACTGCTTTTTTAAACCTTTGCACAAAAGTTATGTTTATATTATTGATGTGTGTTTCAGATGGATAAAATATTCATATTACTTCAGAAGTTCAGACTGGATAAATACTACAAAAAATTAATTGATCTTGGGATTGAAGAAGAACTGGATTTTTTTGACAGCGTCAATGATGTGACCTTAAAAACCATGGGTATGAGTTATATTCTTAAATAGTTGTTGTTTGGCTTATTTAAATCTGTTCCGTTAATATCTATTATTTTGATACATCATAATGCATGACATTATACAAGGTGGTTTCAACAAAGACCATTTTATCTATTAGCAATAAAGTGCACTATATTGGGACCATGTCAAAGTATATGCTAAACCATATGGGGTAAATGCCTTGTCAAGTAAAAAAAAAATGTATATTTGATCTATATTTGATCGTAAATAGAAAATCTAAAATTATTGGACGTGTATGTCTCCTCACGAAGATAATACCAGATAGGATGATCGGCAGTTTCTAAATGGTCAAAAGGGGAGGAGGTCTGGCATATGACTGGCATCTTACCCCAATCTCCCCTACAAGTTCTCATGAAATTAATCGCCTCCATATTGAATATTACAGGTAATTTTCTTTGTTTTGTTAAAAGATTTTTCACAAGCAGAGAGGAACCGGTATGACAATATGGTTGCTTATCTGAAAAGAATCGGCAATGCACCAGTTCCAGAGATGCAAGGAATGCCTGTAATGAAGTCAATTAATTCATTTCATATATCCTACCGATTTCCAAAATGTCCTGGGATACAAGAGATCACAGGTAAATCTTCATAGTACACACTTCATAAACGGCACTAATGTTGTTTCTCATTCTAAAAGACAATTACAGTAATAAGGGTACTGAGAGATGTCAAAACAAGATGCATATGCTTAAATTTAAGTACACATCGTACTTAATATTAAGTACATATAAAGTATAAAGTACATATATCTAGATTTATTTAGGGTTTATGACTTTCACTATCCAACCTCTATCCAAAGAAATATTTGGATTCAAAACTTGCGGAACAGTAGGCCTTCAAATGTAATGGTCTCCTTCAGCATCTTCAAAATAAAGAAAACATTTTTTACAAATAACAAACTTTTCAAAACAGATCTACCATGAGCTCCAAGGTGGTTCACAATTTAAGAGGCACTTTTATCAAAAGCAACTTAAAAATGAGGAACATCACAAGAAATGTATCATTTAAAAGTCAATAATTTCCATAGTATCACAATGCCAACTTTTAAGAGTAAGCGAAATAGTGTAAATATTAGAGCAAACGTAAGAATACCAAAGGGTAAAGAAAGAGGAATATGAAAAAGAGAGCTGATACAAAAATTACTGTAAACCACCTTTTCATGTTACTGCTTTGATAAAATAGTTACCTTACAAGGTTTTATAAAATAAACACAGAAACATCTTGGTTACGACTGTAACCATGGTTTCCTGAGAAGGGGAACAAGATGTGGCGTCTGGAGTTATGCCATGGGGAATGCCTGCAAAAATGTGACTCTCAGACTGCTTATTGGAGCCACTCTAAGAGCTCAATTTCTCTAATTGAAAGAGAAGGTTTCTTAACTTTGATGCTCTAATGCAAGGGAAGCCCTGACCTTTACAACCTTTCTGACCTCCCTTGCAGGGCAGGTAAAAATGGCTGCCCACTTCTCTGAGTGCATGTTCACGGTGTGTGTTCAATACTCACTGCTGTGTGTGTGCACTTGGATGGGTGAAATGCAGAGCACTATTCCAAATATGGGACTCCATACTTGGCTACAAGTCACATCACTTTCACTTTACTCATATTCAGGGAAGGATGGGAAATGAAGCAAGGTATTTTTTTGTAAAATAAAAAAATATAAATAATTTGGTAAGATGTCTTGGTAAAATAGATGCAATAGAAAGGTCAGCTCCCTTCTGCCGAATTCCCATTTGGTGATGGACATTAATAAGTGTGAGTCAGGAAGAAATGGAAGGCTCAAAGGGGATTGACGCTCATGTTCCACCATGAAACGTGATTTCCCACATGAACGGGTCAAGTTTAACCTGTGTGTGGCACTGGCCAATACATCAAGCATTTTCCCGTATGCAGGGTTGACGGGGGGGAGATAATTCGGTCAAAATGTCATCTATTTCCTCAACCGCTTCCGGTTCCTCAGAACTGGAAGACATCAGCAACATGCTTTCTGCTGGATCAGAGGAACATGCAGAGCATGCCTCCAGATTAAGCAGATCGCTTGAACTGGCTTAAGGAGACCGGGAACTGGTTACCACCTCCTAAGCAAGTTAGACCTGTGAACCCTGTAGTGTAGCCAGCACTCTGCGTCAGCATTCTCAGGGCCTGACAAATGTGAATGGAACCATGAACTTGTCACAGTGTGCACATCCCGCTCCCTCGAGAGCTGCACACTTGTGCTCCAGTCCGAGACATCATGCAGAGTTTGTGTGTCCTCAGGTGTAATGAAATGTCTGCACACACAGCCGAAAACACTTGTTACTGCTCCTGAAGACAAAGAAGCTAATTATGTGTTTTGCCTTTGCCCTCTTACACTCACGGAGTCATGGGGGCTCTGCTCATGAATGTCATAGACTGCTGTCTGTCAATAGAACTGGCGTGTTTGGTACACGTGTTCAGACATTGGTGAAGCTGAAGGCATTCCCTATAGCATCAACTCCAGATGCCGCTTCGTAGATCCACTTTGGAAGGGAACAATAATTTAATAATTTATTGTTGTTATAATATGACAGGTATGTGTTTATAGAGTATTTTACAATAGCTTTAAACCTAGTTTAGCCAATCATAATTAAGGACCAGAACTATCAGTTTTACAATTATAATTTTTTTGTCCCATTACCATTGTACAGGTATAGATCCCTCACAGAATACAGTGGAGGACCTGATGCTGCGAATCTGCCATGAAAACAAGGTTGACAGAAACATGTCTGTATGCCTTTACACTGCTGATGGTATGCCTTTGACCGATGACCCCTTTTTCAACACATGTAGGTGTTCGAATATTTTTGAAGATCATTTTCAAACATTGCTTTATTTCAAATGTAGAGACAATTGTTTCCAGCGCCAAATGTGATGTCTTGGTTAAAAGTCTGTAAGCAGCTACAGAAAATCAAGTAATGGTTACTCATTGTATTCTGTACAAATGAGAAAAAAACAATTGTTTTATTCGTTTAGTCAGATTGTCTATAGTTGTGAATTAATTTAAGATCAGGCAACATTTAAATAATAATCAAAGCACAAATCCAGATCAAAGAGTTCACAAACTCTTTCTTGACACTTTTATGACTTTCTTGCAAATATCTGTTCTGCATGTTGTTCACTAATTTAATTTCTCTGCATGCTTTATATCTTTATTATTAAAGGGTCTTTGAATGACAGACATATTACAAGTGGGAGTGAACTGTATGCCATATTTACACCAAGGGAAAATTTAACAGAGTTACCACCGACACAAAGACAGGCCCACATCAGAAATGAAGGACCAAGTGTCATCCGCTGTCACATAGCGTTACAGGTACTTCTACTGATGCATGATCACCTTAATCAAAAATAGAAAATCTATTGATTCACCTAAACAAACCCATAAATTTCACAATCAGAATGTAATGTTGTCAGTGTCAAGTGTAGAAAAGACCAAGGATGGTTGTTACACTTTTTGTTTTTGCTTTTTCCATTAACAGTGTAATACATCAAATGTAAACAGAAGAATCTACCTATTACATTGTCATTTAGCATGATACCGAATCAAATTCTAACCCAAAAGTCAAATCCTTTTTATTTGTTCAAATATATTTACCACTTCTCCAATCACCTTAGGATGGTGCTCATCCATGAAAGTCATTTCATCCTTGTGACTCATTTTCAAATGAGTTAAACTTACTCATCCTGTGTTACAACCATCCGAAATCTTCTCTATATGTGACCCTGGACCACAAAACCAGTCATAAGTCACACAGGTATACTGTATTTGTAGCAATAGCCAACAATACATTGTATGGGTCAAAATTACTGATTTTTCTTTTATGCCAGAAATCATTAGGATATTAAGTAAAGATCATGTTCCATGAAGATATTTTGTAAATTTCTTGCCATAAATATATCAAAACTTAATTTTTGATTAGTAATATGTGTTGCCAAGAACTTCATTTGGACAACTTTAAAGGCGTTTTTCTCAATATTTAGATTTTTTTTTTTTTGCACCCTCAGATTCCAGATTTTCAAATAGTTGTACATCGGCCAAATATTGTCCTATCCTAACAAACCATACTTCAATGGAAAGCTTATTTATCCAGCTTTCAGATGATGTATAAATCTCTCAATTTCAAAAAATTGACCCTTATGGCTGGTTTTGTGTTCCAGGGTCACATATCAGTCATCTTGTTTTTCTTGTATTTGTTCAATAGGGAGACTTTGAAATCAAAGTCAACCTCGAAAGTGATACACTGAGAGATGTGACACTACGGCTTTCTCTTGAAAGTAGTATACCAGCACCAGTTCTTCACATCAGGTCACTGATGATCATATCATGGAGATTACATAATTACATATTTGTGTTCATGCTAATTATAATTTTTTTGATTTACTATATTGTTTAAAATATCAAAAATCTTTCAGTATTGTTTTCCAAGATTAAATTTGTCTTGTATGGGGTTTTTTTTTTTTCCCACAGAGGCGAAGAGTATAATCATGTTGACAAACTAAGTGAGCTTGGAATCACAGAGGATTCAGTTCTACAAGTTCTCTCTGTCATCGTTTGATAATGAGAAACCAAGTCCAAGTCTTTTGTTCCAAAAAGATGTCAGACCCTCAGTGAAGCAAACAGAGAAAGGCCTAAGTGTTTTTCTGTCAACGCTCTATGCCATTGTATGTAAAAAAAAAAAAACTATAATTTCTATTTTGTCAAGGTTTGATGCTTGCTGATCTAGAACCTGGGTCACCTAGAATGGGTGAATCCAAGTTGCAGACCAATCACAAATGCAGCTTCATCCACAAAGGTCTATTCAAAAAGTGCTAAAATCACAAGATAACAGTTCAAAAGCACAATCCAACAGAAAAATAATCAGTTCAGATCTAATAGATCACACCACGCACTCACCCCATGTTGGTATATGTGGTTCAAGGACTCTCCATAGGTGTAATGGTTTTTATACTGTACAAACTATTTTCTATCCCCTTACCCTACCCATTAAAGAAAGCTTTCTGCATTTTTAGATATATATTGTGCTGCAGTTTAGCTCAAACTTAAAAAAAAATAATAAATAAACAACTGTGGCCAATCATATTAGTGTTATTTATATAGTAGAAGCTACATTAGTTTTTGCTCATTCGAAAGGCTGTTTCATTATTTATTTAGTTATTGGGTGATTTTTGATGTTAGAGACATTCACCCTGATAAAATGCTCATCTGTGTCAATGGACACATCAGTACTCAAACCATGAGAATAGTGGAGCCAACTTATCCACAACTCATGTAATTACCAGTAACTGTTTCTTGACAGCAGGTTTGAGGCCAGCAGCTGCAAACGTCAGATAAAACGTACTGCTTTATTTTTCAGTGCAACTATTGGTAAGATTTTCTGTATTTTGTCCTATTCTTTAGAAACGTAAACACTGTGGAGACGAATTTAAGAAAGTGGTTGCATACATTAGGAGACTGAGTGGATGCAATGCTTTGGCTGAAAGTTTATTCCAAATGATCTGTGGGAACTTATATGTAACAAGAAACCAAAAGGTAGGTTATTGTATAATATAAAGTGTGCAAATTATTCACAGAATGGAGTTTTACATACTGATATAAAGTGAATTATCATTGCGATATTATCTATTAACTATTTAAGTCCAATCATACATCTTAAAATAAATCCTTTATATTTTCATTTCAGATTGCTGTTGTTGAGGGTCTTTACTTTCTTTTCCGAGAGTTGTTACCAGGTCTTAATGAAAGATCAGGTCCAAAGGTCATTGAAGATGATGATGTTTTTGAATATGCAAATATTTGCTGGGCTTACTTGATTGCTCAAGGACAGGTATGTTTGCAGTTTTTTTTTCTTGATACAGCACTTCATAAATCAGTTTAGAAGCTATTCAGGAACTATTTTTCATTCTAGTAGCATGGAGTACAAGTACTGCAGCCTGTTTCCCAATAACCAGACTGTAATGTGCATCTTAAATGACCACATGTACTTTATACATTTCACAATTTTGGATAACATTTGTGATGAATATTAAATAAAGCAAAAAGATAAGTTCTTTACCAGACTTAACATTTAAAAAAAAAAAAGTAAATACAATTCATATTTATTAATATTGTACAAAAAAAAAACTTTATCACTAAAACATAATGTCTTGGTCTGTGTTATGTTCACAGATACTAGATTTGCAGTGATGGTAGCAGGCACTAAAAATTTGCTGATTGAAAACCATTTTTTTTTCTCAATTCAGAATGAAAGTACTGATCTGGAGACCTATGCTACAATTTCCTTGAAAGCTTATCCTACTGGCCAGCGGCTGTCTGAGCCAGTCAGAGTACCAGGAACACCGGAAGTATTTGACCGGTCACACGATCAAGATGGCGCCGCAAATGGCAGCCAGGACGCTGTCACTGAAACCTGGCTGAGTGAAGCCATTCCGGACAACGCGATTCATCTGCCGGGCTACCAGCTGTTCAGAGCGGATCGCATCGCGGCGTTAACGGGGAAAACCAGAGGTGGTGGATTGTGTTTCTACATCAACGAAAGTTGGTGTTCAGATGTAACAACGCTGGAAAAGGTATGCTGTCCTAATTTAGAGGCACTCATCATAAACTGTAAACCTTTCTACTCGCCGCGGGAGTTTTCCTCTTTCATTCTCGTGAATGTGTACGTGCCTCCGGACGCGTGCGTGAGCGCCGCGATGCAACAGCTGGCCGAACAAATAACTGAAATGGAGCAAATACACCAAACTAGGTTGCTTGCTTGCTTGCATATCTTTACAAAACTGGCCTAATGTTTTTGATACTTGACTAATTGTAAGGCAGTTAATCTTTTACTATACAGTATGTAGTCTAAAATGTACATTCTCTACCCACCTTACACTTCCTGTTTATGGGTAGAGGCTTCTTTGATCTGTATTGCTCACAAAAACCATAATCCTCAAAAACCTGGTAAGGCATTAATTGGTTTGAGTATCTGCCACTTAATCCTTGGATATAGTGTCAGTTGCTTCCTCTAATTAAATGTAGTCAAAGTTACACATACAAGTAAAATGTACAATAAAGTTGTCATGCATTTAATTTTTTCAGCTTTTTGGAGGATTGTCATGAAAGGACCGCCTGAAACTCCCTATGAGAATGGAACCTTTGAGCTGTATTGTCAGTTTGGTCGTGATTATCCAGTGAAACCACCTGTTGTTCGGTTCTATACTCCTGTATCCTGAAGCCTTAGAAGTGTCACAGTAATTTTCAGAAACTGATTTCTGTTTTGGTTAATATATTAAGAGTAGAGCGCAGAACACCTTAACATTTTGTACTCTATAAATTCTTAACTGCAGTACAGATTTACCATTGCAACATCAACAGTGTGGGAAGGATTTGCCACAACATATTTGATCGAAACTACTCAGCTGATGTTACTATGAGAGAGATCTTGGATGCTGTATATGGACTTCTGATACTCCCAGAGGCTGATGATCCACTAGACAGGTAGCCTCTTATTCTTAAACTGGGTTTTTTTTTTTCATTACCATTTTAAATCTCTAAAAGTTTGTTATTATTATTCAATGGACTTAACAAATCTAATATAATCAGAACAGAGATTAAAGCCCATTCAAGTTGTAAAATGCATTACATTATTTAGCGTTGATCCGCTTCTAAATAATGTAATAAACTTAAGGATACAACAAATAATGAATGAATACATGTATTTTTGTCCACTGTCTATCATATCTTCAGCATATTAGCAGAGGAATTCCTGACTAGCAAAGAAATCTATGAGCAGGCAGCTAAAGATGACACTGCAGTAAACGCATGTCAGTCCATGGAATCCATTGAAAAGGTACATTCTTTTTCATTCAATTATTACCAACAAATGATGTCCAGAATTTTTGTCAAAGAGGAATCATGTTTATGAATCTTTAAGGACACGCTGTCTACAGTCATACAGTTTTAAATGTCTTAAGAACAAAAATAAAAATATATATTTTTAAAGAGTGAAAATATGAGATTAAGAATATAGAAAGGTACTTGAGCAGCCCCCTTCTCAATATTTCAACAGGTTAAAATTATATTTAATCATGTAGCAATCTGAGCTCTGTACACTTGTAGTAAATTAAATTGTGAATAATTCCTATATGCACATATTTGTTAGGATATTATCCTGTTTTATATTTATTAAAAACAATTAACCTATGATTATTTCTTTATTTTTCGCATTTCAATCTGCTTTTCAGCAATACATAGGTGAGAGCAATGTTCCAGTGCCTCCTCATCTGGTATGTCCCTTGTCAGGGAAGATATTCGTTGATCCTGTCAAGACCAAAGGTGGATGTGTGTATGAGCGAAGAGCCATTGAGGAATATCTTAAGACGTAAGATTCAGTGGATTAGTCTCTGAAAAAGTACATTTGCGTTACATTGATATTTATTCATAAGAGCGGTTTACAATTTATTTGTGTTAGTGCATTGAGAGTTCTTGAGTTGGGTGCTCAGAGAGGAATTGTCTTGTTTCTTACTGTTCATGAGGAGTTGCACCATTGAGGGAAAGTGAGTTTACTTCTTGAGGAAATGTTATGGTATTCACCCACTTTCTAAATGAAACTAAGATTTGCAAAAGACTGTGATGACGAACATGAATAACAGGGTTCCTTACTAGACAGAGGCCCACAGACAAACTATTTTCATAATCCATGATATTATCATAGCAACATTATATGGTAATGAAATGCTATTAAAAAGGATGTTGTCTTGCATGCTCAGATCCACCTGTGGGGGTTATCAAAGGATGTCTCGTTTTATTGTTGACTTCTATATTGAGGAGGTGTATAGTAGAAATATAATAATTATTATTTTTTTTTTTTCCATTTATTTTTGCAGGAACAATAATGATCCAGTTACAGGGAAGCCACTTAGTTGCACAGATCTTACTCCAGATAAGAACATGAAAAAGTCTGTTGTGGAGTATCGTACATCCCACATAGAGGAAACAGATCCCTGAATAAAGTAGATATTGCTTTGGTAGTGATTCAGCTGCACTATAATAATCACACAATACTCTTTATCAAATTCATTCTCTTTTGATTGTGGGACACAACTTTTTACATTCCACGTGTGTAGAAATTACAAAATTCCACTGCATATTATGTTCAGTTTATCTTTATCTTCACTTATTTAAATATTTATCTAATTTAGAATTTTGAAGTTATACAGGAGAGGTTATAATGGAAAAAAATCTTTGATTCTCTTTCATTCACAAAGAAATATACTCAATTTTCAGTTTCTTTTAAGAAAATTAAAAATAGACATTAAAAAAGGTCAGAGAAACTGGTATGTATGAGGGGTAGAGTTGCGGTTTTATTTCACCAATGTTATTTAGGTTTAAAGTGCTAAATATACATTTTCCATATCAACCTGTTAGTCTTGGTTGCTTTGTTTTCTGAGGTTCCAAATAAAGTATGTATACTATGTATGCATGTTTGTATTTTATTTTATATTCAGGTCACAGATGCACATGGCACACATTTAGAAAATGTTTCATAATTTCTTTGGTTCACAGTACACTGGCTCTTCAGTGTTGGTATCACTGTCATGTTAGGTGAATGTATATACAAACTTTTTTTTTTTTATTAAAATGGACATTTTATTGCGGATCATAATTCATACAGTTTTCATAAAGTTAACCTACAAATGGTTTAAAGCATTGTAAACAGGGTGGAGCCGCCTCTCATCCAGGCTGGTGATAATACATGGTGCTTGTGATCACAACAGTCTTCAACAATTAATGCTTCTGATCACATCATTCCTCATAATTGGTTTGGACAGGATGAGACTGTTCTGAATCTTCCAGGCTTTTTCATCACCTGGAGGTCGTTAATGTTAAATCTTGTCAAAGGCAACAACACCAGAAGTTGCTGCTTAGCCTGAAATCCTTGTACAACTTCCTGATTTATGTGGTTCAGTTAGGTGAATTGTCAGCGTCAATGCAACAACAAAATTCACTAAGAATCAGTATTCATCCTCAGTTATGTCACACTGGTCTTTCAGCATGTTAGGAAGACCATTATAGACAATTCATTAGAGGAAAAAAATAATTAAAAACAGATGGCAAGAGCCAGCTGAGACCTCAATATTACTTCAGAACCTTTGGCTTCAGATACATAAGGAAGCTCTAGATTACTCAACCGTGTTAATAACATATATTTGCGAGTGGAACACATGAAAGCATCAAACACAATCATACATACTCATCTGTCTTGTCTTAGTGAAGCAACAAGTGTTTTTAACCAAACAAATGGCTATACAGACTTCCTAGAGCTGGACAACATGTCCTGATCTTCACATTCTAAATTCCATAGAATATCTTTTCAGATCCTTCTCCAAATAATCTCAGGCAGCCTTGCACGTAACGTTCAAATCAATTCAGCAACATTCACGTGACAATTACCATTCTAACTTTTTGAACTACAGTGTTTGTGCTTTTGAATGAGGCACACTAAGAGTCCTCCTGCATCCTTCGAAAGTCCTGATTGGGTTCTCCAAAAATGAAGAACTCAACCTAAATGGATAAACAGGAAGAAATGGCACGGTTGCAGGATATAACGTAGCAGGGTTCTCATGGACTTGTTTATAGTTTTATCAACTTTGCTTAAGGTGCAGAATGATGGGAAATATACAGGCAGCGGAGGTGAATTCTGGCAGATGATGGGATAGATCTGAAACCATTAGGGAGTTGTTGCTGTTGCCCGGCCACTCTTCATCTTCTCCAGCCTTTTCGAGAGGTGGCTGTTACTGGACTCCAACTCTTCAATCTTGTCCAGTGCAGAGCGCAACTACCATGAAAAATAGTTGAGCATGCCATTCATTTTATTATATGTACACTGTAAGCATAACTTTGTATATTTTTTAATGAAAGCAGAGCTATTGTACCTCTCGCTGCAGTTTGCGTTTTTCAGCTTTGAGTTCGTCCTCCACCTTCTCTGCATTTTCAGATGCAGATTTGTAACGGGTCACATGACTCTCGAGCCTTGTGACCTACAACATGAGTTTCAATTAAAAACACTTCAAAATGTTTCACTGTTTCATATTTTAGAAGAGTAAAATGAGTTACAATTATTAATAGTAATGAAATATATTAAAAGAACTCACATTCTGTTCAAGTGCTGTGACTTCTTGCTCTGATTTGACAAGCTTAAATTTGAGGTCATTGATTTGTCTGTTCGCATCCCCTGAAATAAGGAACATTTACAAATAAGTTTTATTTATAAAGTGCCTTTCCCAAGCTCAAGGAGAAAATACATAAACACAGCTTTAATCATAAATTTATGTGATAGTATACAGTACATACATATACACATACATACATATAAATACACAGTGACTTGACAGCAAAACCAGAAAGCACAACACAAATACCCACTAGTTTCACAGCAAAACATTAATCAGAAGGTGGCTGGAAATACTGTAAGAAACAATAGGTTTTTAGTTGAGATATGAATGATGATATCAGTCGCGAAGAATTGGTAGAAGAGAATTCCAGCGTTTCAGAGCTACAGCACTGAAAGATCTACCACCCATTGTTATGAGACGAAATGAGGTACAGTAAGCAGGTTTGAATCAGATGAATGAAGAGAGCGAGAAGGTCTATAATAGTGCAGCAGTTCAGATAGATAATGGGGAGCAAGTCCATGAAGACATTAAAAAGTTAACAAAAGAATTTATACTGAATGAGAACAGAAACAGGCAACCAATGTAGATTATAAAGTAATGTATGTCACATAATACACTAAATTGCCCACGAGTAGAATCATTTGTTGTAAAGTATATAAATAAATGTGGCCACATTATGGAGGTAATTTGTTCAGACTTTTTGACTTGATTGATAAACTCTTAACGGCAGAGTTTTGAACATACTGTAGCCTAGTAATAGTTTTAGCTGGCAGTCCAATGAGAAGTGAGTTATAGTAATAAAGACGAGAAGTTATTAAGGCGTGAATGAGAGTTTCAGTGTCTTTGGTACTGAGAGTAGGACGCAGACAGGCAATATTGCGGAGGTGGTAAAATGGTAATAGAACTAATATGAGATTGGAATGTAAGTGACGAGCCAAATATTACACCCAAATTTCTAATGGAATAAGATGGTGTTAACAAAGCCCGATCAATGGAAATACTCAGTTCAGACTTTTCAAGAGAGATGGTGGACCAAATACAATAAACTCAGTTTTATTGTCGTTTTATTGTCGTTCAGTTGTAGGAAGTTGCTATGTAACCATATTTTAATGTCAGCAATACAGGCATTCAGTGAATTAAGTGAAAGAGTAGAGGCGGAGCGACCTGATATGTAAATTTGCAGGTCATCAGCATAACAATGACCGTAGCTATAGATAATTTGACCAAGGGGAAGCAAATAAATGTTGAACAGGAGAGGTCCAAGAACCGAGTCTTGAGGGACACCTTGAGAGAGTGAACAAGACGACGATTTAAAGTTTTGAACACTAATAAAAGATAAGTTTATCCAAGAGATATGATATAAACCAAGACATAGCAGTACTCGTGATGCCAATAGCTGATAGCCGAGAAATAAGTATATGATGAGATACGGTGTCAAAAAGCTGCTGTTAAATCCAGCAAGATAAGAACAGTAATACAGCCAGAATCGGCAGATACTAAAAGGTCATTGGTAATTTTTAGCAGTGTTATATCAGTGCTGTGGCCTGATTGAAAACCACATTGATAGGGGTCAAAAAGATTGTTGGCAAAGAGATGTGCTTATAGCTGCAAAGCAACCACTTTTTCAAGCAGTTTGGAAACGAAAGGGAGATTAGATATAGGTCTGAAGTTATTCAGAACAGATGAATCTAGTCCAGGTTTCTTTAAGATGAGAGTGACCACAGCCACTTTTAATGATAGCAGAACAGACCCGGTGTTCTGTCGATTTGTGCTACCCTGTCAGATTTTGCTACCTCCCATTAAAACAGTAGGTAGTACAATTCAACAACGAAAAATGCTACCGGTCAAATTATGGTTTATTAACATCTACACCTACCCCAACCCTAAACCTAGCCTTACAGTAATGCAAATACAGTAATTGTGTTATTCATGGTTGTGGTAAGAAGGGATACAGCTACGGCCGGAAACCAAAAAAAAAAAAAATAATAATTCTATCTATTAGATTGTGTTTTCATAACATCTACACCTACCCCAACCCTAAACCTACCGCTTACAGTAATGCAAATACAGCAATTATTGTTGTTCAGCATGAGAAAAATGACTCCATATTCATGTGTGCATGCGCAGTAAGGCCTGGTAGGACAATCTGACAGGTAGGATAAAATGTCAGGACACTGGACCACATTTCTCAACATCTGAGGCTGAGGGTCTTATGTGCTCTGGCAATAAACCAAGGCCCGTATTCACAAAACATTTTATCTTACCACTAAGAGTTCTCCTAAATAGCAGTAAAAGTTTTTAGCTAGGAGTTTTCTCTTAAAACATATTCACAAAGCTGCTGAGACAAACTTTTACTAAGGAATAGAGAGAAGTCTTAAGCTAAGAGTAAGAGTGGGGTTGACCTCGTTGCTATGGATGATGTCAGCATGCTTACTAACTATGCACACAGTGATTGGCTGATAGGGGAGGGGTCTCTGTCAGAGATTTATTCATAGAAATATTGTAGAGTGCAATGTTATGTTGCCATATTTAAATAAAGGTTTAAAAATAAAAATATTGCCACATTCAAATAAATATTTTCAAATGCAGGCTAAGTGTCACTAATTAAACAAGTAGGCTACGTATTCAGCTAATTGTCAGCCTCTTACATGTGTGCTTCTCATAAACAGTTAGTGGATATGCATATAAACAGCCTTTTAATTAACAGAGTAGAATAATCATGGCTTCCACCTTCTATTGGTGGCTTGTTAAAACCACTAAATCCTAATGGAAAATGTCTCAAAACACACCACAGGAAACCATTTTTTAAATGGTTTTAATGGTTAAAAGCTGATGGTTTGTTATGTTTGTAATGGTATTTGTAGTGGAAACCATTAGCATTTCTGTGATGGTTTGTATTGTTTTCTCAGCAGAGAGGATAGTTTGTGATTTGGGCTTAGTGACTTAGGAGTCCTCTTCACTACTTCTAACATTTCACAGATTTAGGAGCTAGTTTCAGTGCTAAAACGCTTTGTGAAATACTCTTATAACAAAATTTTGGAGTCCTACATTTAGGATTGACGCCCATTATTTTTAAGATTTTCTCCTAAATCAGCAAGTTATGAGCTACTTTTAGCCTTAAGATGTTTTGTGAATATAGGCCTCAGATCTGTTAAAAATGATTGCTAATAATGTAATGAACATTGTGAGCTGAAGACAGTTTCTAAAACCTTTGCCCTGAAGCTGACCGAGTGCAAGCAGTTTCTTACTCTGTAAATCCATGATGTTGGAGTCAGCACCGTTCTCCAGCACATCTCCTTCTGGGCTGGACGAATCCTCCATACCATTCTTCTGTTTCTTCTGCTCAAGCTGCCCTTTCAATCTCTTAACCTGAATAGAAAAAACAGAAAATCATGCTTGTAATGGCACAAAATGAGAAAGTCAATGTAAAGCACTGTAACTGCCAGCAGCGCACCTGCTCTATTAAGTTTTCCCTCTCATCAACCAGTTTTCGCAAGCGAATTTCTGAAAAGCAAGTTCAACAGATAGACCATTAGACAACAACCAACATTTTTTTTCTTGCAGGTTTTTTTTTTTTTGGAAAAACAACTGTATATCCACTTCAATAAAATAACCACTTTTGGGACATTCATACATTTTAACAACAACAGTTAAACATCTAAAAAATGTCTTTTGCAATAATAAAATATTACATTCTCATGTTAAAACAAATTCCAAGGTTAGACAGGAAAGATTTCACATACCAGGGGTGGGAGGAGCCAAAGGCATGGAGGGGGAGGAGTCAGGGCATGCAAAAAGTGAGGCTATCCTATGCTGGGATGTGAAGGATGAGGATGGACAACATGCAGAAACTTCAGTGACCTCAGAGGCTTCAGCCTCATCTAGTCAAAATCTCTTAACGTTCGCTCAATCTGTACATCTATTACATGACAGTGTTTTTCATGTGAGCTTACTTGAGGTTTGTGATGCAATGAATGTGACATATTATAATTCATGTCCTAAAAATTAAAACTTTCATGACTTAAAAATAAGTCAATCTTATCTGAAGCAGTTTAATTAAATGTCCTCTATCATTATACAAAAAAACGTACACAATCAATAAACAATAGTGTAAAACATATTTTTAATTGCTTAAGTTTTATTTTAAAATACATGGTTCACTTAACAAACACTATGTCTCAATACCATCTTCACCAAACAGAATAAAATATTTAATTTTTTTTCCCTCAATCGTACCTCCCAAAAAATATATTGTAAAAACAAAACGTAACTTCAAAGCTCCAGTCAAATTTTTAGAGGAATGTTTAATAAGGTTGGCACACAATAACATTTTTTATTTACCACAATTTTAAACAACATGACACCAATTTAAACAAAATACATTACAGGTCCTTTGTTACCGAAAACATTGTAATTAAGAAGCTGCTAAACATGACTGCAGCACAGACAGAAAGCTAATCATTTGTATTACTCATACAGTATGAGAAACATTTTATTCATGCTCATGTAAAATTTCATAATAAATATGACACTTTATACCCATTAATGATAGCATTTAATGTGTAATTGGTTTTGGGATTTTAAATACTGTTTGAACTAATTTCAAGTGTTATTGTTAATCAGGTGTAAAACGTGTAAAATATGTTTGCTGAAAAAGATGCAATGACTGATAATTGGGATTGACTGTAAGATAACTTTGGTTATTTTAGGGTTCTCTGAAGTAATGGTCCCAAAATAATTTCATTAGGACCTACATAAGTGCAAATTACTTTTTCAACTGAAGATGCTGAGAAGAGACTCGGCAATGTCCTTGTCTATTAAGACATTTTACATTCTTCTTTCCCCTTGCCCTTCCCTTTCCCTTTTCCACTTTTTTTAGATTCTTTTCTTTCATCTTCCTTGTTTCTTTCTGTGGTTTCCTTCTCAACTTCCTGATCTCCTGAAATACTTGACACCTTGTTTTCGTGTTGAATGGAACTATTGATCTCTTGGCCTACATTTCTTTTCTCCATCTCTGAGATCAGATTAACCCCTTCACTGAGCGTCACGTTTTCTAATGCCTGCTGATGCTCCTCAAATGCATCTTCTTTATTTCCAGAAGTATGATGCTGCTGATCATTAGGTTTGACTTCACTGCTGATTTGGCTGTCCTCTGTTAAACATCCTTCTATAAATGTTGTTGTTTGTGGGTTTTCTGTGTCTTGTCCATCATCTTTCTGCTCCTTTGGCTTTGATTCCTGATCTGCAAGTTCTAGATGTTCTTTTTGAATTAGGTCCTCATCAGTGAAAAGAGTCTCTTCCTCTTTTGGCTGATCTAGAAAGTTTTTTAGAGGGGCATCTGATGATGCTTCAAGATCCATTTCATCAAAATCAAATGATTCTCCTTCATCTTCCTCTTCCTCGTCTTCTTCCTTGAGCTCTTGAGCAGCCACATCTGACTTTACCAGAAGGTCTTCTCCATCTTCAGGTAGTTGCACTTCAAGCTGATTTTGGATTGAGCTTTCCTCCTCATCTTTTTCTACCTTGGGTTCTTGTTCAGAAGAATCTGACTCTCCAACTGATTCCTTAATTGCTTCATTGGGAGACAGGTGATCCTCATGCACAACCTGAACCTGTGTTTCAGTTAAAGGAGTGTTGTCAACATGGCTTACATCAGACACGTTTTCAGTAGGCATGTTAAGGTTTTCTTTATCCAGTTCATCTTGTCTCTCAACCTCTTCCTGGTCCACTTCTGCTCCAATACTGTCTTGAGTATCAGACACTTTTTCAGTAGGCGCTTTAAGGTTTTCTTTATCCAGATCATCTTGTCTCTCAAACTCTTCCTGGTCCAATTCTGCTCCAATACTGTCTTGAGTATCAGACACTTTTTCAGTAGGCGCTTTAAGGTTTTCTTTATCCAGATCATCTTGTCTCTCAAACTCTTCCTGGTCCAATTCTGCTCCAATACTGTCTTGAGTATCAGACACTTTTTCAGTAGGCGCTTTAAGGTTTTCTTTATCCAGATCATCTTGTCTCTCAAACTCTTCCTGGTCCAATTCTGCTCCAATACTGTCTTGAGTATCAGACACTTTTTCATTAGGTGCTTTAAGGTTTTCTTTATCATATTCATCTCGTCTCTCAAACTCTTCCTGGTACAATTCTCCTCCAACACTGTCTCGAGTATAAGACACTTTTTCAGTAGGCATGTTAAGGTTTTCTTTATCCAGATTATCTTGTCTCTCACGCTCTTCCTGGTCCAATTCTGCTCCAATACTGTCTTGAGTATCAGACACTTTTTCAGTAGGCGCTTTAAGGTTTTCTTTATCCAGATCATCTTGTCTCTCAAACTCTTCCTGGTCCAATTCTGCTCCAATACTGTCTTGAGTATCAGACACTTTTTCAGTAGGCGCTTTAAGGTTTTCTTTATCCAGATCATCTTGTCTCTCAAACTCTTCCTGGTCCAATTCTGCTCCAATACTGTCTTGAGTATCAGACACTTTTTCAGTAGGCGCTTTAAGGTTTTCTTTATCCAGATCATCTTGTCTCTCAAACTCTTCCTGGTCCAATTCTGCTCCAATACTGTCTTGAGTATCAGACACTTTTTCAGTAGGCGCTTTAAGGTTTTCTTTATCCAGATCATCTTGTCTCTCAAACTCTTCCTGGTCCAATTCTGCTCCAATACTGTCTTGAGTATCAGACACTTTTTCAGTAGGCGCTTTAAGGTTTTCTTTATCCAATTCATCTCGTCTCTCAAACTCTTCCTGGTACAATTCTGCTCCAACACTGTCTCGAGTATAAGACACTTTTTCAGTAGGCATGTTAAGGTTTTCTTTATCCAGATTATCTTGTCTCTCACCCTCTTCCTGGTTTAATTCTGCTCCAATACTGTCTTGAGTATCAGACACTTTTTCAGTAGGTGCTTTAAGGTTTTCTTTATCCAGATCATCTTGTCTCTCAAACTCTTCCTGGTCCAATTCTGCTCCAATACTGTCTTGAGTATCAGACACTTTTTCAGTAGGTGCTTTAAGGTTTTCTTTATCCAATTCATCTCGTCTCTCAACCTCTTCCAGGTCCAATTCTGCTCCAATACCGTCTTGAAGTTGGTTTTCCATTGGCTGATCAATAGGTTGTTCCTGGATTACCCTTTCAGCTTCATTTCCTACCTTCTCCATTACAGAGGAAGAGGGATGAGCAGAGTCATCTTGATCTTCAGGGTTAGTGGTCCCATCTAGATCAATGTTCTGGACATTTTCTTCCTGTTCTTCCATTTCACAGTTCAGATGGCTCTTCACTTCCTTCATGTCTACCGATGAAGATTTCTCAATGTTCTCAGAGCAGCTGGTGGACTCAACACCCCCTTCAACAGCATCCATGGACTGAGCAGAAGGTTCATGAGGCAGTGAAGTCTCCGTTTCTGAAGATACAAGCTCACAGCTAAAGACTACAGCTTCAGAGTCAGGATTTGTTGAATCCTCAGTGTGTTCATCAATAATGTTTGTGGGGTTAGAGATAACATTGCTGGACAGATCATCTGAAAGGATGCCATTGCTAGATTCAGGGCAATCAAAATTTGAGATTGTTTTAGAAATTCCTGCTAAATCAGCTTCATCTGTAACTAACAGAATTTTATCTTGAACATCATCGGCATTTATATTTGTTGTTTTGAAACCATCCAGTTCACTGGTTCTTTTAGCATCATGTGGGACATCTGTATTCATCGTTGTTTCGGATATATCATTCCCTAAGGGCTCCTGATAGTTTCCTTCTAGATCACCTTCCGTTTTTTGGTTTGGATTGTCTTCACTACAAACTGTTTCAGTCTTGTCATCTATCTTCGTATCATTCTCTTGCTTGTCACTCTGTTTCTGCTTCTGCTTGTTTTTCTTCTTCTTTTTCTTCTTTTTATTTGAAGCACTGGCACCTTGGGTTTTGGCAAGCTTCTCTGTTTGAGATGATTCTACAGGCTCCTCTTTGAGTTTATCATCAAGCACTGCTTCACCAGGTTGATCAGGTTCATCATGGACAGAACCAGAGACAGACTCTAAAGGAGTTTCTTCTTTGATGACCTGACTAGGTTTGACACATTCACTCTCTTGTTGATCTGTCTCCAAATGTCCATCCTTGTGAACAATGCACTCTACTTCCACTGTATTGCCTCTTGAATCTTCTGGTATATGCGCCTCAGATTTGATCTCCTCCTTGGGTCTTGTTGCAGTGAGTTCATCATCACCAACAGAACTTGGAGGTTCTTCAGGTCTATTCTCAAGCTGCTCTACACCCTGATTCATTTGGTCCCCAAGGTCTCCATTCTCATTTGCTTCTAAAGGTGCGTTTGTAGAACTGAACGGGGCATGTGAAAACTGCTGATTCCCTGGCACCCCATCATCCAAATCTTTTTGTTGCTGGTCTTTACACACCTTCAACTGATGAGTGCCTGGGAGATGATTGAGGTGTCAGTAGTTAAAATCTATAGAAGCCATTGAATATTTGGCAAATGTTTAGAGCAAGAAGAAAAAGAAAGAGGGAAAGGAGCGAAAAAAGACTCCATGGCAAAGCTCTTAAACCCATACAAATCAAAAGTCTTGAAGGATGTCCCGAAGAAGAAAACCCCAAAGTAAAGTCAAGAACTGAACAAACTACTCCTTCTCTTGATTTTGATTTTAAAATCAAGGATGTTGACATTTTTTCAGCAAATTTATAAACACTCATTCAGCAGAGTATTGGAATATGGACTCAAGAAAGAGACATGACTCTGTAGTGTTAACTTTCAATCTAGCTGTATATGCAAAGTGGATAAAGGGAAGCAGGAAAGGGTGAGAGATGTTAATGTGACGGTGCATTTGTAGCAGGCAGTTTGGTTAGACTTGGCTTGAGCTGTACAAGCTGAAAATGCAAAGTGTCAAAGCTAAAACATGTTAGCATGCAATGAATGAAGCTAAGAAAAGCAGCTTACCTAGTACACTACTCCCCTCTCGGATTTCAGCTGATGCAGTTTGAGAATTCTGATCAGCCTTTCCGGCTTCTTCCTCTGTTTCTCCATTGGTGGCTGAGTCGGGTCCAAGGACAATGCCATGTTTCTGGACAGCAAAACAGTTTAATATCAGTATACTTATTATAAAAACAAATTCAGGTTAAATTTAGACGCACTTGACCTAGATTTCTTATGTTTAAACATGTATTTGTAGATAATATGATTATGATTCTGTTCATTCAGTCAGAGATTGAGTGTTAAAGGGATAGTTCACCCAAAAATGAAAATTTGATGTTTATCGGCTTACCCCCAGGGCATCCAAGATGTAGGTGACTTTGTTTCTTCAGTAGAACACAAATTATGTTTGAAAGTATGTATTTTTAACTCCAGCCGTTGCAGTCTATCAGTCGTATAATGCATGGCAATAGTAACAAACTCTATGAGAGTAAAAAAAAACATGCACAGACAAATCCAAATTAAACCCTGCGGCTCGTGACGACACATTGATGTCCTAAGACACGAAACGATCGGTTTGTGCGAGAAACCGAACAGTATTTATATAATTTTTTACCTCTAATACACCACTATGTCCAACTGCCTTCAGCAGAGGTGTGTTCAGAGGTGTGTACGCGCTCTGGCGTAGTTTACGTTAATGGGTCTGTTGATATCCAGCCTAAGAGCAATCAACCATAACTTCAGGCGAGCAGGCTCAGAAGTTGGGAATACATGGAAAGTCACCACTTCCGAATGAGTTCACGTGAGAGAACGTAATCTTTTAGTTTTAAGTCGGTTTGAACAATCCGGATAAGTGCAAGTAAGTACCATTTTGATTAGCCGTCGTACCTACAATGTTTGTGCACTGTGTAAACAATCATTACATTTATATAGCGCTTTTCTAGGCACTCAAAGCGCTTTACATTGTCAGGGGGTATCTCCTCATCCACCACCAGTAGAATAAATAGGCGCCGGGAGCACACATCATTCACTTCTTCGTCTGAAGCTTGCGTCCGCAGTTGCAGTCTATCAGTCGTACAATGTATGGCAATGGTAACAAAATCTATGAGAGTAAAAAAAACATGCACAAACGATTGGTTTGTGCGAGAAACCGAACAGTATTTATATAATTTTTTACCTCTAATACACCACTATGTCCAACTGCCTTCAGCAGAGGTGTGTTCAGAGGTGTGTACGCGCTCTGGCGTAGTTTACGTTAATGGGTCTGTTGATATCCAGCCTAAGAGCAATCAACCATAACTTCAGGCGAGCAGGCTCAGAAGTTGGGAATACATGGAAAGTCACCACTTCCGAATGAGTTCACGTGAGAGAACGTAATCTTTTAGTTTTAAGTCGGTTTGAACAATCCGGATAAGTGCAAGTAAGTACCATTTTGAT